ACAGATAACGTTTTCGATTTCTGGTTCCCTTCGGGTCGCCACCCTGCTCGGACGCTACGCTCTCGGGTTAAAGATGTGGTGCCCAGTTGTCGCCCGATGACCTGGGGAAGCGGCCGTGGAGGATCTCCAAAAGTGTTACGTACCGATTCGCTAAGGAACGCTCTCGATTTGGTTTAAAGGGACGACTCGAGGGAGATGGAAGGGTTATCGGCTATAAGGATCTCGACCAATCAGATGATCAGAATGATTAGTTCTCAAATTTGGCTATTTTGGCAAAGCAGTCTGTCTCGGGGCACCGACCGAGGTGTCACGAACTGCCTCGCGCTCCCGTGCTGTCTGTTTATAGTTTTTCTAGCTTTGTTTCGATACGGTATAGAAAGTTCTCGTTCGTGTAGTTCTCTCGTTGCTCTCGCGATATCCAGGAAATTCTATGGATTTTCTGAGGTGTAGTGCAGTGCCCACCCGAGGGGCCTCTGGGTAAGGTTCTCGGTCTTCACGGATCAGCTGCACCAGCTCCGGTGAGTCTCTCAATTTATTAATTGGTGAAAGGATTTCAATTTGATAGTTCAGATTCGTTCTGTTACGTTCTCGATTCGTTGCTCTCTGTCTCTCGCACTATTTGCCTGACTCTTACTCCGACCCTCCTACCTCAACCTAGCAGCCTGAGCCTGAGGGACCCCAAAGATCAGCAACTACAGTTGCGTTTCTCGATTTTACGCGTCCCGAAAAATCGACAAGATCCGTTAAGTTATCGCATTATCTGATAGGTTCCGTCAGAGCTCTCGTTTTGGTGGAGTTGGGCCTGTTCCACCCCAACTCCCAGTTCATACCGGCTTAAGTTCTCAACCTAGCAGCCTGAGCCTGAGGGACCCCAAAGATCAGCAACTACAGTTGCGTTTCTCGATTTTACGCGTCCCGAAAAATCGACAAGATCCGTTAAGTTATCGCATTATCTGATAGGTTCCGTCAGAGCTCTCGTTTTGGTGGAGTTGGGCCTGTTCCACCCCAACTCCCAGTTCATACCGGCTCGTCAGTTCCCAGTGAAAAAAGAATTGGCTGGCGCCTGCCTGGTTCGCGAATGCATGAGCGAAGGGTGGACGGCCGAAGGTAACGTAGGTTAGTTCTCGAAGATCGTTCTCGGATTTTTCGCTATCGGTGTCGAGTTAAGAAAAATACGTTGCAAATCATATATCAAGAATACCATCAATTCCTTCGAATGTCTAAAATCCAGCGCTCTGCTCAAATAGCCAAGTTTATTCTTCACTTGAATGTGCTTCAGTTTTCGATTTAGGATTATCAGTACTGGTCTTTTCAGCATATTGAAACCCAACCATTCGTTGGCTGCAATACGAATCAGTTTGGAAATTCATTAGTCTCTTATTGTAAATCAACATTATTTTCAGTCCGAAAATATCGCCTACCAGTAAGTACAGGTACGTCTGCATCATCATTAGCTGGTCTTGGTCTCGCTGGTCCTTGATTCAAATCTTTCTTTCTCTCCAGATTCAGCGTTATTACGATTAATATAATAAGACCTGAAGAATACAATATTTATATTAATTGTTTGCCAACAGCTAACAATATTCATAATTAATTTACCAAGGGGAAATGTGCCCAATCCTATAAATGTCAAAATGAAGGAAACATCACTATCAGCAAAATAATCATAGGTTCCTGGTGCAGTGCAATTCTCAATCGAGGAACTGTTTACAGGTTGTGCATACCAACATTCTCTCTTCACACGGGTCTTAATAGTTGTGCACTCCTGCTTTGTCACTGTACTCTGGCTCACACATTTCTCGTGTATGTCATTCTCTGAAAAACATTTGCTATTTTAAATATCTTACCAGACTCTTTGTATCTGATACGAACGACACAATTGAAATTAAACTTGAATACACACGTGAGCGTGGAACGTTGAAAGGATTTTTTGGAATATCATTCTCAGCCAAATCAGTGATCGACATCAGTACGTCATAGAAAGTGATCTCTTCTAACCGACCGATCTCCTTGGTTGTAAACAATCTATCAACAAGAGGTGATCGTGGCGGGTGAAGATTCGAAAATGAAATTATAATCTTGATCATTAGAAACGTCATGTGCATACCCGTTGTTTGTGTTCTTGTACCAGAATCTGTCACCATTCCGTATACGTTCGAATTGGTCCATAATGATTTTACGAAAGAGTTCACCAGGTCGATCGTCAGTTTCCAAGATACCACCGATCCAGATATCAATATTGTTCAGGTCGTTCTTGTAGAGTTCGCTCAAGTTCCCTCTGATAGAGTCAGTGACATAATTGAAGTCAGAAAATTTTGTCACCGGTGCAAGACCATAGGCCCTTCTGGCTGTGTTGTAATCCGGAACTCCGTGGTCCCGAGCACGTTGCACGTTCAGCGCCATGAGATCACGTCTGGAGAACTCCAAGGGGCCGAAGACGTTGCCACGTAGATCCTCAACAATAGTGTGATCCTCGCGTTCACTAGGCTGCACCGCCATTCCCATGATGATCTTGTCGATCTCTTCCTTGCGGATATCTATCTGTCCCTGACTTCCATGCAGGGCATTCTGAAGAGGGAGGACAATTGAATTTTCTCGAATTCGATCAGAAACAACCTACTTCACCTCAGACATCCAGAAGTTGTTGCAAGTCCTGAGTACGTCACTGAAAGCGCATCCAGCTTTACCGGTTTCCCTCATCCGGACGCCTGAAACAAATTAAAATCGTCAGATCCTCCTACAGTTGGATTATATAAATTGTTGGCTTCTTCTTACCAGCTGGTACCAACGTATGGCCAAAACGGAAACCTGCTGATTGGAAAAATTGGTCTATCTGAGGGTTTACAGTTGGGTCGTACCCTGTTCGAGAGAAAGAGAAACTTTAATGATGAGCCATTCCGAATTTTGGGGTAGTCCTCCATACCTTTGTAATTGGGTAGACGTTCACCGATCCAATTGAATAACCAGTCGTTGACGATGATGTGCTGTTGCGTTGCTATGGCCCATTTGCGTGCTTCGTTGTAAATAGTCTCGCCATCCCAATTAGGATGAAGCCGCTTGATATGTTTAGCCAAATGATTGTGCCATCTGAACCAAATGATTCCGAACGTCAGGAGAAAGGGGTTCTCATTTCCACGAGGATTGCCCAGTTCTAGAATGAAAGGGGACGAATGAAATTATTTTGAAATTTTTACTATGGCGAGGGTCGTGCGATTTGAACTTACTGAAAAATCGGTCGACTGGTTCGGTGTAATGTCTTTTGACATAGTGGGCATGATTGATCGGCGGGGGTGGATTGGCCATTGGCAATCTTACTTTATTCATTTCTGGAAAGGCGCCATTGCTGGAACTAGCTAGTTGTCCGTCGGGTGCTATGGTACCGTTAGCGTAAGTTCTTAAAACGTCGGACCAGGCTTTTGATGTACCATAAATTAATCCGCCGTCAATGTATGGTGTTATTTCATTAAGCTGCACAATTAATGAATCAATTGAAAAACGTTAATGGTTCTTAAATCCAATTTTGTTAAACATGAAACTTTAACTCACTTGTTGACGTGGGTTATTTGGCGAGTAACCGGTACGAGCATCGTAACGTGTACGTAGAAAGGGAATTTCGGTGTGACCAATGTTTTTATATATAGGATCTTTGTGATCTGGTATTGGAATGTTGAAGTATTCCGGAGGACACGCTGGTCTCTGAGCATCAAGAATTTCCTCGACGACTTGCTGCCCTGTGCATTTTTCAAATTTTTCTTGTAATTACACACAAACGGTATGTCACTGTCGAATTATTACCAAAGAAAACGATCAGCGCGTTTTTGCCGGTTTTTGAGACTGAACCAATTGGACCGCTGAGAAGCCTTCGACTCAGGGTCAAAGGATTAGGTCGATCACGACCAGCGGGTTTGTAGACGCCGTCTTCGTAGGCTGCCGGCCATCGGCGAAACAAGGGCGTGTCCACTGCACCCAATTCTGGTTGTCCGATATTGTTGTACCAACCGTCGTATCCTGGATATTCGACCCTTCGAGGCTTGGTGTCGAACATTGCATTAGTTATGCTGTCGCCCTCCAGTAACCAATTCATGAATTTGTTGTTCTTGTATTCAGTGGGTTTTGCCATTGCTATGTTCGTTATTAGAAAAATTTAGATGCGTTTACTTTATTATTTTATATTTTTTTTAACTTACAATTTGGTGCAGGCGTTGTCGTTGAATTTGTTGTTGGTGCTTTCGATTGTTCTTGGGCATTGGCAAAGAATAAGTTTACCAAATAAATAAACCACAACAAGTTACCCCGGTCAGACATTTTTTTTATGGTTACTTTTATTTGACGGCTGTTTAAAAAAAATTAATGTTTAAGACTGTTTCTGTATTACTGCGAACGATTTTGTGTAAGGATATTCATTTTTGTTACAGCCTGAAGCGCATGATTTCATAGTCTGTTGGAAACTGTGGTAACTTTCACAATTAAAGGAAGTGGCGATTGTCGTCAGGGAACCCCAGATTTCCGGGAAGACGAGCGATACCGATAAGAAGAGGATTGGCATACGACGAAGGATTATTTCAGATACTATATTGTTCCAGACCAGTTGCAGGGAAATTAAAATACAAACCCACTGGAACATGATGAAGAGGTACCAACTGCGAGAGAAGATTCTATGGTTTGCTTTGATATCCCGGGTCTTTGTTTTAATTGCTCAATTTATCCTGAACCTTCTGTGTCCTGATCACGATGCAGGAGTCTTCATCAGTCCCAAAGATCAGTTTGAAATTCAGGAAAGATCTATCTGGGATACTCTCATACATCTTTTTCTGGGAGGATTAACTCGTTGGGATGCTCAATACTTTTTACACATTGCCAAATATGGTTATACCTATGAAAATACCCTTGCATTTTTTCCATTGTTTCCCTGGACCATTCGCTGCCTTACCAAGATCTTCTTGGTACTTCTCCTGCCACTGGGATTCAGTGTCCAAGAAGATAGCGTCCTTTTGTTAACAGCGACTCTTCTGAATTTGGTCTGCTTTGTGGGCTCTGCATGCACTCTGTATGACCTGAGTTATAAAGTACTTGGTGATCCCGTGACGGCCTATAAGGCTTCAGTACTCTTCTGCATCAACCCGGCCAGCATCTTCTTCACGGCTGCTTATACAGAATCTATGTTCACATACTTAACGTTTAGGAGTATGCTGGCCTATGCAGAAGGTACCTCCTGGCAATGGCTTTCGGTATCACTTTCGGCTATAGTTAGATCTAATGGACTTACTAACATTGGATTCCTGGTTTATGGTTGGCTTCAAAAAACTGTTGACTTTATTCAGGCCTCTGAACTTACTTTCTTGATTACGTCTTCCCGCCCGATAAGCTATCAACGGCGCATCCAGTTTGTCCTTTTCTTTGGCTATCATTTGGTAATTCGTTTTATGAAAATCATTGGTATTCTAATATTAACCTCCTCTCCCTTCCTCCTTATCCAGGTCTATAATTATTTGATTTTTTGCGTTGAAGAAATGCCCAACTTTCCAAAACAGGTATTAGATTATGGTTTTGATAATGGTTTCCTCCTTCCTGGAAGTCGAGATTTGCTGTGGTGTCGATATTCAATACCTATGGCATATTCTCATGTACAAAGCAGGTATTGGAATGTTGGATTTGTTAAATATTATGAATTTAAACAAATACCAAATTTTATTCTTGCAGTCCCAGTGCTTTATATAATGCTTGCGGGGAGTTTTAGGTATCTTTATGAGCATAAAAGTGAACTGTACACTTTGGGACTGAAACAAGCATTCATCAAGAGCAGGTATTCTATGAAAATGTTTGTATTTGTTGTTCACGGACTCTTTTTAACTATCTTTTGCTTGCTCTTTGTACATATTCAAGTGAGCACTCGTTTACTCTGTTCAGCTAGTCCTTTGGTGTATTGGTACTGTGCGTACATCATGTCATATCAGCCTGAGAAATTACATAAAAATATGTACACCATTTGTGAATATCCTGACAATCTAATTTCAAAATGGCGAGTGTTTTTCATGACTCAGGAAAAGTACACAACAAATGATAAATTAGTCTTGATATATTTTATTGGCTATCTACTTATTGGTTGTTTTATGTACTCAAATTTCCTACCATGGACATAATTTATATGTAAGATCGTGGGGACATATGTGAGTAGTACAAAGAATATGCATTTATTTTTTGTATCAAAATATTTAATAAAATTTGTTGAGAGATAAATTAAGTTGATACAACTTCTTCCGTTTTTTCCTTCAGGTGTTGTCTTTTGTGCTTGAGAATTTCAATAGGAGTGAGTGAAATAATCTTTTTACAATCAGGACAATCGTAAGAACGTGCATTGGCCTTTCCAACAGTTGAGGAAGGTGATATTATTGTTGCATTTATTTCATTTTCAACAATTCTTTCTTTGCACATTAATTGATGTTGAAGTTTTTCAATGCTAGAAATCATTGCTTCGAGATTGCAGCGATTGCAGCGCCATTCTGTTTCGAGCATATCAACCGCCATCTTATCGCTCCATTCGCTCTCGACGAGGCTGAAACGCGGTCAGGAAACACAATACAATATTAATTTCTAGCAATAACAGGATTGAGGAAATAAAAAATGTACCCACCAACAGTAAGTAATGTTTTCGCTAACGCGTACGCCACCTTTTGTGGAATGAGATTCGCACTGAAAGTCATTTTGAAAAGGATTTGGTTCAACCGTCACATCATTGTGCCCATTCCCTACGTAGAGCGTTTTGAGATCAGCTGGTAATAAGCGTCTGATCACGTATGGAACATTAGTATGTAAGAATTCAATAAGTTCCTGGTGTAATTCACGTTCCATTCTGGCCATATCTTTTTTTGGAGTCTGTGTATCATTTTCTGATGATGCTTCTGGAATGAATATTCATTATTGATGTTCGAGCGAGGTAAGATTGAAAGTATTTAGGTACCTTGAAGTCTATCGTTTAAAAGACTATTCCATTTATGTCGGATATTCGACGCTTTCGAGAGTAATATTAAACCGGCGTCAGGTGTCGGAAAGTCTAGAGCTATCCAGGAGTCGCATACTAATCTGTAATAAAATAGAAGTAATGTTCAAGTATTGTATTGAGTAAATATACGAATTACTTGTTGCTGGAAAATAGCGTACATACGTTGAACATGTAGCATTCGTGTCGATTTCCTGAGCAAAGAGCAATAAAGTTTGCGCTGCTGGCATTCTCATGGTATTTACTAAATACGGTTTTGTTGTTTCTAAGAGGGATCTGATAAAGAAATATTTTAATGACGTACTTTATCCATGATTAGCTTGGTTTTCGTGATTACTTACAAATAAGCAAGTAGTTGGTGTTTTGAGCTGACAGCAGTCTTAGATTTGAAACCTGGAATTGATACCACGTCTGGTTCCTCCAATTGAAGTATGTCAGGATGATTTCCAAAAAAGCTAATAGGATGTAGAGCTACGTACGGTTTCGCTTTTGTATGAAATAATTGTTCGTTTACAGACTGTTGAGGTTTTATAGGACATTAAAACATGAGCAAACATTTTAAGAAACATGTAATTATATTATATGATACCCTTACCTTGCAATAATTAAATTCATCTGCACAAGCAAATTGTGGATAAAGACCACTGCAAACAATAAGTTTTAGCATTGTCAAATCTTTGTAGTTGCATGCAGTTGATGCAGTGAGAAGATTCTGCACTTGAGAAGGATCATTCCTCATGCGGAATTCAACATCCTTTATGTCAATTTCACCAGGCTTATCGGAGGCTTCGGCATCCTGTTCAGATGTACCAAGGTCAAAAAAGTCGACTTTTAATTCTTTGCGTTTTCTTGGTTCGCTCTGTCTATAAGTTCGTTTCATGGCTTTTAGAAGTTTCAATTCCCCATGGCGAATCGCTCGCTCAGCGCTTGAACTCGGCATTTTCGAGTCTGCTCCTACATTTTTTAACAAGCCACAATCCTAAAATTTAATGAATAAATATTAATAAGTTCGCCAATTTATAGGTGCTACATATTTAAAAACTTGAATTTAGTGGATACTTAGTACTTACATGTAGTAGGTCTTTAAACTGAGCACGAAGCTTTGTCATTTCATAAAATCTTTGTTCTTCGAGTCCTCTTCTTCTGCACCAGGTGCGACTATTCGACTTTGATGGACCACGTGCCTCTTGACTACTCTGACCCTTGACTTCCAACCATTCTCTATACGCATTCAGTAGTGTTATAGGGTCTCCATGGTCAGACTCAAGTTTTTTTCTGGAATTCTAAAGTCAAATTAATTAATCAAGAGACTAATTCTTTCCTATATATTTACTCGGATAAAGTCCAAAGTGAATTCTAGCATTTTTACCTCACATTCAGCATCCCTGTACGCTCTATTAGTAAAAGGTGTCTGTATACTCAATGCAGCAGCCAAAGATAGAACCGATTCAACATGATGAAAGAGTGAACCCATTATCAGCATTTTACCAATTGCTATATCAACGGGCAGTCTAGCCAAAGTTTTACCTATACTCGTTAATTTTTCATTGTCCGTTAAAGCGCCCTTGAAAATCAAAAATTAAAATTAATACCAACAAATTTCATCTCCTTTAACTTAGTGTCGTCATCTCCTTTTGCTTACATGTTCTTTAAGCGATATTATGGAATTTTCAATGCTGTCTCCTGGTGGTGGCTCAATGAATGGAAATTTTCTTGCATCTGGTAGACCCATTGCTATCATTTGAAGAAGTAACGAATCCAGTGGAACACGTTGTATCTCAGGAGTTGTATATGTTTCCAACGCATTGTATTCCTCTTCAGAATAAAGTCTTCAACCGGATAAACAAAGAAAGAGATGAATATTAGTAGATAGATTAGATAAATTGAAACTGAAGTAGTATTACAAATTTTAAAGATCTCTACCTATAACAAACTCCTGGCCCCGTTCGACCTGCTCTTCCTTTACGCTGCTCTGCACTAGCTTTACTAATCCAAAATTCTTTGAGTCTCTGCATTTTGCAAAGTGGATCATAACTCATCTCCTTGACTTTACCGCTATCTATGACAAATCTAATTCCATCAATGGTTACAGATGTTTCAGCAATGTTTGTAGAGACTATGCATTTTCTTACACCCTCAGGTACATAATCGAATACCTAAAAAATATTTATTGTAATGTTCTGCACACGTCGTAGGAGTAGGAGGAAAAAAATAGTAAAGCATACTTTGTCCTGTTCAGCTATGGATAAGCTACTGTGCAACGGTAAAATGATCCAATTTTTTTTCTTTCGACTATATTCCTTCGCTGCGTCGACTACCGACGTAATTTCGCTCATTCCACTTAGAAATATTAGTAGGTCCCCTTTTTCGTCGTCTGCAATTAAGCAAGTTAAAATTTTTAAGATTTCCGTAGGGTATTAGTTGTCTTCGTTAATTATTTTTTCCTATCTCATTGTTAATCTTTGTATACAAACTTGTATATTTTTGATCGATGAGCTGCATCGTTTGAATGTATGGACTAGGATCAAATCTTTCGGATTTTCGTCTGATGTCTTCAGACATTATTGGCCTGTACAATAGTTGTATTGGATAAAGTCTTCCAGGTACCTGAAAGGAATGTCATACGTCAAATTTATGTTCTGATAACTTTAAAAAGATTTTCGTTCAGGTATTTTACAAACTTGAATCACTTTGGCTTCTTCTTTGGCAAAATAATTAACAAAAAGCTCTAGGTTGATAGTGGCAGACATCAAGACCAATTTTAAATCTTTTTGTTGGTGAATCAGACACTTCATGATACCCAGGAGAAAATCACCGTGCAGATGACGTTCGTGAACCTCGTCTAGGATGATTATATTGTATTGTGATAATCCTGCTTCCCCAGAGACCTGTTCTTTGTTCATTTAGTATTTTGTATAACAAGGGAACACAAATTATTATTTTATTGGTAATGTAAATTTATACCTGTCTTAGGAGAAGTCCTTCTGTGATGAACGTGATTCTTGTATCTTGATTTCTTTGTCTTTCAAAGCGAATTTGATATCCGACTTGATTGCGATTTTCAGTCAAAGTTTCAAAAGCCACGCGCTTCGCTAAAGATATGCAGGCTATTCTGCGTGGTTGCGTACAAGCTGAAAATTGATACGATTAGTAAGAAGAAGTGTACTAGGCATTTCTTTTAAAGTATCGTACCGATTTTTGAGAAACCAGCGGAATATAAATATTGCGGCACTTGAGTGGATTTCCCGCAACCTGTATCACCTGCTATAATGACTACCCTTTCTTCCGTGACAGTTTTTACAATTTCCTCTCTATACCTAGCTACTGGTAAATTAGCTTGTTCGTTTCTGAGTTTTCGTAACTTTGCAAATTTCTCTTTTTGTTTAAAATCAAGATACAATTCTAGAGTATCTCGGAATTCTTGTATCCGATCACTTTTCAATGAAATGTCCCTGGCTTTGAGTGATTTTGCCAACGATTCATTGAAATTCTTATCGAGTTTAATATTTGAACAATACGATTTCCGATACAGTGTTGGTAATTTTATTGTTTTTGAAATTGTTGTATCGTTTGTTGCAACCCCCCTCTGTTCATCGCTACTTTCGGCATCGGGCTTGAATTTTTTTTGCATTGCTTCGTATTTTCGTAGGAATTTCCAAAAATCTTCGGTATCGTGAACGAGAGGGGAATGAGACGGGGAAATAAATCGGTTTAATTCATGTTTATAATTTTCAAAAGATACATTTTTATCGTTCCGTTTCTTAGTTGATCCAGAACTAATTGTTTCGAATTGATTTGATTGATCTTCATCTCTAGAATAGCGACGTTTTCTTGATGACATTTTTCAAGTGTCACACGTCTTATTTTTTTTTTAATTATCACTTTCACGTAATATATTTGACAAAAAGTCTGAGCGTTTTGTTTTCGCAATGCACATTCTAACCTTAAACTCAAATGCATTGAATTATATTGAGAAATACACCTAGCGCAATCTGTTAGAGAATGGATTAAACTTTTATGCCCGATACAGACCAAAGCCAGCTAGCATCGACGAATGGGAAATATGTTTTGTGTCCGATTTACAACGTCACTGCCCGATACTTTTTGTTCATTGGTCGCTACCAGCCGCCTTTGGTTTGCATGGCCCTTAGACGAATTACCAACAGAGCATGAGGCTTATCCGGTATCGAAATATCTTGGGTAGTTGAATCTCTCAGATTTCTATTCCTCGTGGTCTTAAACTTCCATAAACATGCGTATCGAAACATGTTACTTTTGTTCATCCCGGATTTATCCGGGACATGGGATTCAATTCGTTCGAAACGATTGCAAGGTATAATAATATAATTAATTGCGTTAAATTATTTGGTCATTTGTAAACTGTGAAACCAGTATTAGTTGTGAATTGACATTTGTTATAGGTTAGGTCTGTCTCCTGTACCTATGTCTCATGTATATTGTTATTTTTGTTTATTAGATATTTAAATTTTGCCGATCGAAATGCCATGCAGCTTTCAAAAAGAAGAAGAACCCAAGGAAAGTGAAATGGACCAAAGCCTACAGGAAGACAGTGGGCAAAGAATTGGCTGTCGATCCATCATTTGAGTTTGAGAAGAGGAGGAATACTCCATTGAAGTATAATAGAGAATTATGGTCTAAGACTGTAGATGCCATGAAGAAGGTTGAACTGATTAGACAAAAGAGACAAAATACACATATAATGCAGAGGTTGCGAAAGGGTCGTGAACTTGAACAAGAAAGAGATGTTAAGGAGGTACAACGAGATCTATCTCTTATTCGATCACCAGCTGCTGGTCTCAAAGAACGCAAAAAGCTTGAGGAGGTTAACGAACAAGATGACAAAATGGATAATTCTGATGAAGAGATGGAAGCGGAGGCAATAGAAGTTACAGGATAGTAAAGTACACATTAAATTCTGTTCATAATTTTTTTTTATTTACGTACACTTATTCTTAAATTATCATATTTTGTTCCTGAGTCGTATAATTATGGAGAAAACACAGTTGTAAATAAACGAAATAGTTTTCACATATGCCACGTTTAGTATTTGTCTTTGGATCTGTTGTTCCCTTAAGTTTTGGATTAATTACCTTCAAAGACATATCCTATTAATGGCTTCCGAGATTCGTTTGTATAAGAACTTAATACGCGGATTTTCGCGCGCGATAGCGTGCGCGTGCGAATATTTAAGTAGATTAATTTTTGTTAAAGTTTTTTGGAAGTGGAGATAAATGGTAAAGAGTGTAAGACGCGATGATATGAGCAGAGACCTTTTTTCTTTGCAATCTTCAGTTCGGGTGCACACTGTAAGCTCGATAAGATTTACTATAACAAAAGTCAGCACCTTATGCCTGCCTGTACTGAAGCGCATGGTGCGACTAGTATCTTTAATATGTATTTTACCGATGTTACGTAGCAGGATCATGGTTAAAACCTACCAGGAAATATAAAACTCCTCAATAACTATTGAAAAAGCCTATTAATAAAACGTTTTCAAATACTGCGGTGCCAACTTCACACCCGTAGCACATCAATTTTTAAAAAACGATTCATTAATAAGTTGCTACGTTACACGATGTGAATTGATCTTGCGATTCACGGTCACAAGGCGACTCCTGCTATTGATTCAGATAACGTTCTCGCTTTCTGGTTCCCTTCGAGTCGCCACTTTGCTCAGAAGCTACGCTCTTGGATTGATTTGTATAGTTACGCCGATGCTCTGGGAAAATTTGTTATTGTTCAGTTAAGGTTGAGATGGTCAAATCTACCGTGGAGAGATAGTCTCGACGTACCGAATCTCCAGCAGAGGAGAGTACTCGATGGAGACGTCTCCACGAACCAGCAAAAGCCCGGGTGAAATACCTGCGTCCCGCTAGAGACAGGCAAAGGGCTGTAGAGCGGGTAGAGAAAATTTTTTTTTACAGTTTAAGGGTAGGGTAGAAACCCCATAACCCGAGTTATGGTCTTGGTGCCCAGCTATAGCCCGATCCTGTGGGGAAGTGGCCGTGGAGGATCTCCAAGAGTTCCGTACCAATTCGCTAAGGGACGCTCTCGATTTGGTTTAAAGGGCCACCTCGAGTGAGAGGATAATAGTTATCGACTTATCGGCTATGACGATCTCGGCCAATTAGAATGATTAGTTCCCGAATTGAACTATTGACAAAGCAGTCTGTCTTGGGACACCGATCGGGGTGCCTCGAGTCGGTTCGCGCTCCCGCGTTATTTGTTGATAGTTTTTTTCTTGCAGTTTTTCCTACACGGTATAGAAACTTCTCGCTTATTTAGTTCTCGCGTGGTTCACGCAATATCCAGAAAATCCTATAGCTCTTCTGGGTGCGTTTCGGAAGTGCAGTGTTGTGCTATAGTACAGTGTCCACCTGAGTGTCCCCTGGATACAGTTCTCGGATTTCATGGATTACCTGAACCAGCTCTGGTGAGGATTCCCAATTTATTAATTGGTGGAGGGATTTTATAGCTCCGGTTTAATTTTTTACGTTCTCGATCAATTGTTCTCTGCTTTCGACACTATTTACTTGACCATTACTCCGACCCTCTCGACCCCGACCTAGCAGCTTGAGTGGCCGTGCATTTCCGTAACCGTCCGGTTCCGTTCGTGCATTCAATTGCGTTTGCTAATTTTATGCGACCACAAAGATCAGCAGCTACGGGTGCATTTCTCGATTTTACGCGTCCCCAAAAATCTACAGGATCCGTTAAGTTGTCGCATTATTTGATAGGTTCCGTCAGAGCTCTCGTTTTGGCGGAGTCCACCCCAACGCCCAGGTCATACCGGCTCGTCAGTTCTCGCTGAAAAAGGAACTGGCTGGCGCCCGCCTGGCTTGCCGGATGCATGAGCGAAGGGTAGATGGCCGAAGGTAACGTCGGTTAGTTCTCGGATTTTTCGCTATCGGTGTCGAGTAAGAAAGATAGGCAGCTTATATAAGCTAACTTGCGCTAACTTATTATTTAACATTTATATAAATTACTCGGCGGAATACACTGCATAGATTTGTTTTAGATGTATGCGCTCATAACTGCCCTAATTTGTCTTCTCTTTATCAATTATTATGGTTATCATAAAATACTCGGCGCAATACAATGCATATAATTATTCTGGATGTATACGCTGATACATATGTAAGCAAATATACAATATTTTTTTGCAAAATGTGTATTTACGATAATATTTACATAACACATACTAGTTATGACTGTCTCATTCGAAAGGGTATAGTCTCTGGTAGATCTCCACTGCGTTCCATCGTTTGTACCTAGGTTCGGAAGTTAGCCTCCTATAATTCGAAAAATCCGGTTCCGTTGTTTGTTCTGAGTTGTTCTAAGTTTGTTCTATAATGTTCCAGGAAAACAAGTTTCTCAATTGAAATTTCTAGCGGTGAGGTGAAAAACACATTTTTTTACCGGAACCCCCCACTTATGTTAAATCAAACTTTTTTGTTGTTCAAGGTTTGTTATAGTTGTTCTAAATATTGTTACAGAACATTAATACCGTTAAGTAAAGAATACTAGAAAAACCTAGGAAAACCTAAGAAAACCTACGAAAACCTAGGAAAACCAAGAACAGGCTGCAACATCCTGGAATAACATGGAAATCGTTCGAAATGGTCCTATATCCACATGCTATTCTGAGAGCGTTTGTCCTCCTCAGCTTTTTCAGATTCCCTGGTTTTACGTGTCTTTCCTACCCAACCAACGTGGAACAACCTAGAAAAACCTACGAAAACCTAAGAAAACCTACGAAAACCTAGGAAAACCAAGAACAGGCTGCAACATCCTGGAATAACATGGAAATCGTTCGAAATGGTCCTATATCCACATGCTATTCTGAGAGCGTTTGTCCTCCTCAGCTTTTTCAGATTCCCTGGTTTTACGTGTCTTTCCTACCCAACCAACGTGGAACAACCTAGAAAAACCTACGAAAACCTAAGAAAACCTACGAAAACTTAGGAAAACCAAGAACAGGCTGCAACATCCTGGAATAACATGGAAATCGTTCGAAATGGTCCTATATCCACATGCTATTCTGAGAGCGTTTGTCCTCCTCAGCTTTTTCAGATTCCCTGGTTTTACGTGTCTTTCCTACCCAACCAACGTGGAACAACCTAGAAAAACCTACGAAAACCTAAGGAAACCTTCGAAAACCCAGGAAAACCTAAGGCAACCTACGAAAACCTACGAAAACCTAAGGAAACCTACGAAAACCTAAGGAAACCTACGAAAACTTAGGAAAACCAAGAACAGGCTGCAACATCCTGGAATAATCTGGAAATCGTTCGAAATGGTCCTATATCCACATCCTGTCCTGAGAGCGTTTGTCCTCCTCAGCTTTTTCAGTTTCCCTGGTTTTACGTGTCTGTACTACCCAACCAACGTGGAACAACCTAGAAAAACCTACGAAAACCTAAGGAAACCTTCGAAAACCCATGAAAACTTAAGGCAACCTACGAAAACCTATGAAAACTACGAAAACATATGAAAACCTATGAAAACCTACGAAAACCTAAGAAAACCTACGAAAACTTAGGAAAACCAAGAACAGGCTGTAACATCCTGGAATAACCTGGAAATCGTTCGAAATGGTCCTATATCTACATACTGTTCTGAGAGCGTTCGTCCTCCTCAGCTTTTTCAGTTTCCCTGGTTTTACGTGTCTTTCCTACCCAACCAACGTGGAAAAACCTAGAAAAACCTATGAAAACCTAAGAAATCCTACGAAAACCTAGAACAGACTGCAACCTGTTGGAATAACCTGGAAATCGTTCAAAATGGTCCTATATCCACATGCTGTTCTGAGAGCGTTTGTCCGCTTCAGCTTTTCCAGTGTTTCCCTGGTTTTACGTGTCTGTCCTACCCGATCAACCTGCAGCAACCTGGAACAACCTAGTAAAACCTAGGAAAATGTAAGAAAACCTAGGAAAACCTAGAATGACCTAGAACAAGCCAGAACAACCTTTTTTTTTGCCGAAACTGCCGCCGAATACGAATATTCCAAAAATCGAGGTGCTACACGAGTGTCAGCTCCAGCACTGCACTTTTTTAAAATCTCTTAAAAATGATTCAACAATAGACATTTTCTATAGTTTTCGGGGAGTTCTATAGTTTCTGATCGGTTTTAATAGTAGTTCTGCTACGTAACATCGGTAAAATATCTATTAAATATAGTGGTGGTATCATACGCTTCAGTGCAGGCAGGCATGAGTTGCTGGCTTTTGTCGTATTAAACTTATCGAGCTTATACTGTGCGTTCGAACTTAGGATTGCGAAGAAAAAAACTAATTAGGCTATATTCAATTATCTGCCTCGTTGTAAGTGTTGCTTTCGGAACCAACGGTAAGTAGCTGAGAGCCTCTGCTCGCCTAGCTACACGTTCGTAATCACGTTCAGCTGGGCTACGACGGGATCCGCATTATCGACAGAGGCGATGATCACAAAATTCCACTTCCGGACTCGCCGCTGTGATTCAGCGCTATGTTTTTGGTATCGCCTAAAACCATAGCGTTGTGCATCAGAGATCAGTAGGGAGATGCATAACGCTACGGTTTTAGGCGATACCAAAAACATGGCGCTAAAACGTAGCGACGAGTCCGGGAATAGAATTTTGTGATCATCGCCTCCGTCGATAATGCATATCCCGTCGTAGCCGAGCTGAACGTGATCACGAACGGGTAGCCTGGCGGGCAGAGATTCTCCACAACTTACAACTGATTCCCAGAGCAACCCTTAGAAAGAGGCCGCTTATCAGATATTGCCTAAATCTTTTTTTTTGTAATCTTAAATTCAAGTGTACAGTGTAATCTCGATAAGATTTAGTAAAACAAAAGCCAGCACCGTATGCCTGGCTGCGTTAAGGAGTGTAGCGATGCGGTGCTAGCTTCCATCATTATTTAACAATAGTTCCAAGCGGAACTATAGTTCCAACATTGAGTACTAGAGAGAACTGTTTCGGAACTGTTTGAAGCACAATCTGAAAACAACACTGAAAGCCAGCTCCTTATGCATACCTGCACTGAAGCG